GGTTTGTTAGAGGTTTTTGGGGAACACAGATGAAACGCAAACAAACAAACACAAAGGTTTTTGGTGTTTCGTCAAAGGCTGAGCCACCCATTAAGAAGCAGAAGAAAGTGAGCAGCTTCCAAGACGATGAAGCTGCTGTGGAGGGAAAGGGTGCTTACGAGAAGGAAGGTAATGATGATATTGGAGAAAATCCGATACTATTGAAAATAATGTTTAGTCTGGATAGAATTGTCTAAAAAATAGACAGCCACAATAACAACTTCGAAAACTTCGACGCGCGGTTATCCAGAATGGAGTCCAGTTATACGAACATTCCTGATTTAGTCAGAGTTGCAGTGGACGAGTACTTCTCGAAAGTTCCCCAACAATCTTTAACGTTGGCAGCACCAGCACCACCACCGCCACCGCCGAACTTTTTTCCGCAGCAGTCAGTCAATAGTCCACCTGCTAAGGCCTCTGTCCATAGTACACCTGCTAAGGCCTCTGTCCATAGTACACCTGCTAAGAATTTGGGAGACACTGTTGATTTCGTTGGTATTTCTCCTGCAAAGGACCCAGCCTTCCCAACAGCAAGGTTTAGCGAAGACATCTCCAACCTTAGAACCTCTGAATCCCCCTTAGATCCGGTCCAATTGTAAGAAGTTTCAGTCGACTGAGATCTCTTTTTAGGCGGTAGTGTCGGTGAATCTTCGTCTTGTGTTGGAGACTCACCATATGAGCTAAAGTTATCATCTTCGGATGACGCACCATCTGAGTCGTCGAACATATCAAATCGGCTATCAAATTCACTGTCTTCTTCGCCTTCTTCATCTTCTCCAACATCTTTCTGTTTTTCTCCGTTCAAGATATTCTCATTGTCGTTCTGTTCCTCCTCCAAACTAAAACCATCGTATCTAGATTCAACTTCTGAGACTTCTGCTTCTGAGCTGAAACTGTATAACATATTACTCTTTTCTCCCGCTCCGTCTTTCCGGCTGATCTCATCATCCTCGTTCTCTGTAATCTCTACACAGAGACGTAATCTTTCGGTTTTCCTTAGGNACAATACATCCTCTACTGTCGGGTGTGAATACATATCTGTTTTTCTTAATCCAGTTACCTGAAACAATAATTACTGGATCCATAAGATTTTAGAGAAAGAGAAGAAGGTGAAGAACAGATAGCGGCGTCTGTAACATAAACCATAATTTCGTTGTTGTAGTTAGTAATGACATGGAAAACAAAAGCTGACATGGATGATGACATGGAAAATCAGTTATTCAGCCACCAAACGAACATTTAAGTCAGCCACAATAAGTCAGCCACTTAATACACCGTAAGTCAGTCAAAACGTGAATACTATTTTAGTAATTAACTTTTTGTTAACAATCAGCCATAACAGAGATGAAACACAAGAAGTCAGCTTTATCGTTAAATAAACCAGCCGGCAAATGAATGCTATTCTAGTAATTAATCTTTCGCTAAAAGGTCAGCCGTAAATCAGCTGAGTTTACTGTTACTCCACTTTCTGACGGTTGATTAAATATAACTCAGCTGTAAAAACATCTCATAACTCGGCCGGTCGACGATCAATTAACCAGCCACGATAGTTAACTCAGCCTTCTGGTAACTAAAACTCAGTCGGAGTTTCCAGGAACCAGCCTAAGGATGTATAATTCAGTCGTAATATCTGACTGTAACTCAGCCGTTATCAAATAAACCAGCCAGATTTTTTTAAGTCAGCCACAGCCATAACGATCGACTGAGTTATGTTCATAACTCAGCTTATTTCTCATAAGTCAGCTAGGTTAGTTAAGTCAGCCGCAACGCACCTATATCTCGGCCGTAACGAAGTTCATATCGTATTGAGGCTGAGTTTTATGCCGCATTCTTACGTGGACCCGATTTTTTGCCTACGTGGCACAAAAAAGTAATGGTATTCTCGNAACTCAGCTTATTTCTCATAAGTCAGCTAGGTTAGTTAAGTCAGCCGCAACGCACCTATATCTCGGCCGTAACGAAGTTCATATCGTATTGAGGCTGAGTTTTATGCCGCATTCTTACGTGGACCCGATTTTTTGCCTACGTGGCACAAAAAAGTAATGGTATTCTCGTAAATATGTTTTTTCTCACAACGTAAAAAAAAGAGCACGCTGGATATTAAAAAAAAGGTAGTAATAAAAAAAGTTTTGTATGGTTGTGATAATAATTAATAAAATTCATACTAGTTGAGTTAACTTCCCTTTTAAATCTTAGTCCGATTTTAATTCGAGTTTTGGCGACCCAAATAATTCATTGTGATTCAAAAGCCTATTACATACTACAGTTCACAAACTCGGCAAATTTAAACAATATGTACCAACAAATGCTTGTTGGCATGACTCAGACTTGGTTTGTAGAGAAGAGAAAAACATAAAGAAATTAAAACTAATAACTCTATAAATTTGTGAAACATTATTTAAACTTCAAAAAATAAAGTAACACTGTTTAAATTTTTTGAATAAATAATCAAATTTAAATGATATTATCAAAAAAAAAACTCAATATCGATCAAATACCTAATTATACATTAAATAAAATATTTGAGTTAATTATTCATGTAATATATACTTATTTTAGGTGCATATTAAAAAAAAAACTTTTAAGTATTTTGGATATTTATTCGAGATTGAGTTCGAATTTGATAAAATTTAACTTTGTTGTTTTGGTTTTTTTTTATCATTTCGGATATTTATTTAAGTTTGGATTCAAACTGGATAAAACCCAAATCTTAAGATACTATAAAATAAAATAAAATTATGATATTTATATCGAATTAAGTTTGTTATCATTTTTTGAGTCAATTCAGTTCTTTTTTGATCAACCAACACTTATATTAAATTATACTAGATTTTGACCCGCCCTTTAGAAGGGCGGTATATATTTAAAAAAAATATAATTTATCAGTTTTTAATTTGAAATTTTTTTATGTATATTCGTATCTCACTACATAATTTTATATTTCTTATGCATTTTATAAGAATTAATTTTGTTGAGTTTGGGGGACAAAAAATTTACTTGGCATATTTTAGACTAAATCAATAATATATATATTTGCATGGGGTTTTAATAGTTTTTATAAATGTTTTTGTATTCAATGCAGACCCGCTGTCGAACCGGTAACTTCGGTGACCCGTATATAATATGGCTCAGATTTAGTTAAAATCTGATATTAAAAAACCAGATAAACCCGTAAAAATTACAAAGTTTGTCACTAACCCGCAATCTGACACTGGTTGACCGGATAAAAATACATATAAATCTGATTATATTTGTTTTAACATGATTCATTTTTTGATTTTATTATGTTTTTATTGGGACTCGAGATTATTTGAAACAATTGTAATTGATAAAATGTGGTATTTATAGTTATTAACAAAATGAAAAAATGATTTAGTGGATTTCTATTATTATGGAACTGAAATGGTGGTTACAAAATATATAGAATAAATGTAGTCTTTTTAATGTTATTTTTTTCTATGTTAGACTAAACTTATATCAATAGTTCATGTTACTGTTTAAATAGTATTAATTTAGATTAGTTACTAAACAAACTCGACAATAAAAATGTAAAAAAAATCTACATTGAACAAAGATAAGGTTTGAAAACAGTTTTAGGGTATAAGGTTAGAACACAAACTAAACAGAAAAAAAATAATTGTATCGAATAAAGATAAGGTTTGAAAACAATTTTAGGGTATAGGTATAGAGTTAAGACACAAACCAAACAAAAACGAAATGAGTTTAAACAGTCGGACTATTATCTGTTATTTGGAGAGGGAATAGATTAAATAAAAATGAAACGGGTTTAAAGAGTCGGGTTTTTTTTAAAAAAAAAGGAAGAGAATAAAAATTCAGGGACATGTTCATAAACATGTTTCTGATTTAATAGTATAGATGTCAAACGGTTGTAGGTTATATAAATGGTTACAACTGAAGGTATTCTCGATGGCTGGGAGATAAGTAAAAATTACAATTTAGTTTAGTTCAGATTTTCATATTTCCATGTTTGTTTGTTTTTTTGCCCACCCTTAGGTAAAATTTTTAAAGAGTATCTCAAACAAAAGAAATATATATGAATATCTCGAAAAAGTTTTAAAATTTAGTGTAAGAGAAAATAAATCATTAGATGAAAAACAATTGGTATTTGAAGCTCTCATGAGTATTTAAAAGTTCTCAAATGAGTAAGCTTGATTTTTTTTATCACACAAACACAATTTGAAATATCATACAAAAGCTACGTAAGTATTACTTAAACTTATAAGATGTGCATTACAACACCAAACTAAACTTGGATTAATGTCGAAACAAAAGCTAGTTGGACCTAGTTCTCCGAATTTTCTTCCATTATCTACCTGTAAAACCACATGCCTTAATTTTAATCCCAATTGCTTATCATCCAAGTAACAACCAAGTTAAAACATTGGCGACTTCAAAAGATCAGTAAAGCAAAACACAAAGAGAAAAGATCTAGGAACTCAAGAACTTCATCAAACTATGGAGTTTTTTTATTATTCTTCGTTCTTCCAGTGTGTGCTATGTTCCTCAATGTCCTTCCTATGTTTTTTCCTCTGTGATTTTCTGTCCATACACATCGCTTTTCCTCTCCGTTGCAAGTGTAAAGCTCATACAATTCTCCTTCGATCAAGGCCCTCTTTACCCAGTTTCCCGTCACCTTCTCCCATGTATCTGCTTAACTTGCTTCCCCATCACGCTTCAACATAAACATAAGACTCAAAGCCATTTCCCAAAATGGTTTTTGCAATTAAAGTTGTAGTCTGTGTTGTGGCGTTACATGTGTATGATTACATGCATTATCTACCCTCTCCATGTGTACCTAGAGCTTGAAGTTCTCGTAGTCCCACTCAAATTTCTGCTCACCATCATTCTTAGCCACAGTTCAATGAACCATACTTAGCCACATCTCTTCAAGACTTTTGGCTGGTTATATTTTTAGTATATATATCTTTTAGAAATGGAAAATGCGGAACAACCGGATTTTAACAAACATGATACATTGTTCTCTCTTTTTTGCAGTGTACCATTCACTGTACTATAAACACTTTTGAGTTTTGACTAAATGCTTCATGCATAATTATGAGAATTGTTGGATCATTAGCCTATAGAACAGCAATTAAATACACACTCCATTGGATTTCAGACTTGGACTTACGTTTTTAGCCACTTAGTTAAACCAAATTTTGTATTTTTTACAAATATATATATATATATATATATAACCTTTTAAACATAAAAAATGGGGAAACCAGATTTTCATATACATGATATAATATTATTCTTTTTGCAGTATATCATTCACTGCACTAGAAACACTTCTGAGTTTTGAGTAAATGCTTCATGCAAAATGATGTGATAATTGAACCGTTAGCCTAAGCAAGTAAATACACACTTCATTGGATTTCGGAGTCGGAATTACGTTTTTAGCCATTTAGTCCAACCAGAAATTCGTATTTTTACCGCATTACCAATACCAGAAGATTTGGCAACCTTCATGGACTCATAGGATGGAAGTTAGGAAAGACATTATGGTATTGCATTAAAATTTATTAAGAATGAGGCACATCAGAACCAGCCTCGAATACGAAACGTTGAATCAAAGCTGGTTAGTTGTCTGAATCTTCTTCCAAACCATCGTGTAGCTGTACGAGCACATGCCCTATATGGTCAAATATTCTCATTGTTATAATTTATCATGTTTAGTTATATACACGCTACAACAAAGTTACAATGTAACTTCGAGATCTAAAAAATAGCTGTAGAAACTTTAAAAAGATGTTGGAATAATTAAATCCAAGTTTCAAAAGTTAAGATAAATATTATCTAAGCTTTCTATTAATACGAGGTTATAAAAAAAATCTAAGCTTTGCCATTTCGGTTCAAAGTACACAATGTCATAAGCCCTGTTCGGAAGAAAGACGCAGCGTCAGAGACCATTAAAACATAGACGACAGGTAAATGAGCATGGATGAGAGAGAAAAAAGTGACGCTGGCGTTTAAAGTCGAGTTCAAATTTCTGGAATGGTGACGCTATTAATTCTGGCGTCCCAAAGTCTGTTACATCTAAAGCTTCGCTCGATCGCTGCGGCTAAATCCGGCGAACATTTCTTCAGTTCCACGTTTAAATTTTGATCGCTGACGCTGGTATCAGCGTTAACACACCGAACAGGGCTATAGTAATTAATAAAGTTAAACATAAGTTTGAAGAACCATCAAAAGGCATGAGCATCATCATTAACGCAGCGGCAACTTCAGCGTCTAATATTTCTTCAATAATTTTATTATCATTGATCACTCGAGTGAAAAAGAGAAACGCGGCGATCAATAAAATTAAAGGAATACGGTAGCGCCGCTGACACAACAGGAAAACAGCGGCTCCTTTGAACTCTTTTCTCTCTCCTCTGCGTCTTACTTCTTCTTTCTAATCTATTGAAACTCTGCAATTTCTTTCCTTTTTCTTCCTTTTTGCTGTTAAATTGGTTGCGCGGTGTTAGACAAACGAATAGGGCTGATGTTGTCTCGGTTTGTGGAATACACGGACGCAAATATCATCTGACTATACAATGCATCTATAAAATACACAATTGCCTTAAGAGAAAATGACTAGAATAAACCTAAAAAAAAGTTTTTGTCACAAATATAGACCTTAGCAATTAAAATAACTAAAATAACACTTAAATGTATTATTAAATATACATTTTTATCTCTTGGGTTAACTAATCCTAGACTTTTTTGTTTAGAGTTGAGGAGTGGAGTTTTGGGATAAGATTTCAAATTTAAAAAAAATAAAAAAAATAAAAATTTTCAAAATAAAAAATGTTATTTTGGTCATTTTAATTTTGGAGATCTATTTTGTGATAAAAACTTAAAAGATGGCTATTTAAGAGAATTGCCCTTGTCTTACACTTGCATCGAAACTTTAAAAATACACTAATTAATTAACAGGTCATGAAAAATGAAACATATGATGATATTGGGGTGTTCGAATGTGTTAAATAAGTGTTGTGAACGTCGCAGAACTAGATCTCCAAAATGAAGCACATGCCTTAGCTTTAAATGTGGTTAGCAGTTAACTCAACCCGGTTACTTATTATACACGCGATAACCAAGTTAAAACCTAGCTCGGTGATTAGAAAAAAAAATCCAAAACGCAAAAGAAAAAGATATGGGGGAGGTGGAAGAAGAGCTCACTTGCTTCTTCAAAATTTGTGTTTCAACAATAGTCTCAGTATCTTACTGTTACTATGTATCGCCCAAAATCAAACCGGGTGTCTTTAGATTACTCTCTGTTCTCCCTATATGTGCTTTGTTCTTTGTTCATCCTCTGTTTCTCTCCTCTGCACATCTCACTTTCATCACATCAAGTTTCACAATACATGCTATTTTTAAGCTTATCCTCTTAGCCTTTGATACAGGTCCTCTTATTCCACTTCCACCAAACCTCATCCAATTCCTCTGTTTTACTAGCTTCCCTATCCATCCTAAACAAAAGCAAGAATCTCAAAATTTTCTCCCTAAAGTTCTTTACGCGGCTAAAGTTGTGGTATTTGGCGTTGTCTTACATATCTTTAACCACAGACAAAATATGCCTCCGATTATATTATTGGGTCTTTATCCATCGTATATATACCTGGCTCTTGAGGTGCTCTTAACGCTCCTCAGAGTTGTGGTCACTATCACTTTTGGGTGCCAATCTGAGCCAATTTTCAATGAACCATACTTAGCCACATCTCTTCAAGACTTCTGGGGTCGCCGGTGGAACCTCACGGTCTCGGCTCTTCTCCGATGGAGCGTCTATGGTCCAGTGAGGCGACTCTGTAAAAACTCCGAGTGGTCTGTAATGGTCGGTGTTTTGGCATCATTCTTAGTCGCTGGTCTGTCTCACGAGATGCTCTTCTTCCATATTAACCGTGAGGCGCCCACTGGGCAGTTCACTTGGTTCTTTGTGTTTCATGGAGTTTGCTTGGTGGCCGAAGGGGCGGTGAAGAAGATGGCACGTGCACGGGGGTGGGTGGCGATACCGGTGGTGTCTCAGCTGCTTACGTTAGGGTTTATCATTATGACCAGTGGTTGGCTCTTTTTTCCTCTGTTTAAACGGAGTGGCATGATGGACAGATTCGCCAATGAATATGTTTTACTTCTAGATTACGTTAAGCGCCAACTATATATGTGATGGACATGTACTAGAAGATATTTTCATCCCCCATATGTTATGTGTCTTCTTTACTTCCAATGCAATGGTTATGCACATCTTACAATCACTCTATCAGTAACAGCTATGTGTCTTCAGTGGAAAGAAAATAACTTATGTTATTGTTCTTTGAATAAATTATATATTGTTGTTTTTACATATTATATTAGCACACAAAGTTCCTTTACCCTTGAAATCTCTCTCCTAGCGACTTTTCAGGCGACAAAGTGAGTTCTTTTTCCCTTGTCCGCCGGGGTCTTGGGCTCCTGCTCCTCCCTTCTCCTCAGGCCCTTCCATCCTCATAGGGAATAAAAAGTCACCGAAAAAGTCATTTTCAAAGAAAAAGCGAAAGAAAACCCCAAACAAAAAATCCCCTCCCGCTGTCCATGAAATCTCCAGTAACCTAAATCCAAAAGAGATTGTCTCTCCTGTTGCTATAGGCTCTTCGGAACCATTGTGTGCCCAATCACCTTCGCCGAAAGTTGGTATGGCCCAGTAAGCAACCTGTAGATGTGCATATCTCGATGGCTTCTTCTCAAGTCACCCCCGTCTCCACTCCCGTAGATCCTAAACAAATCGCACTACAAGAAAACTCGTCCATTACTAGGACGGGTTTTCCTCGTTAGTTCCTAGTAAATGGCCTTTTACTAGGAACTTACGAGGAAACGCGTTTCCTCGAAACACGTTCATCGTAAAGACATTTTCCTCGTAAGGTTGTAGCGAATTTACGAGGAAAGTTTTCCTCGTAAAGGCGTGGTAATATTTTCCTCGTAAGG